TCTGAAAGACTCATTAAGTATCCATTGGTGGATATGCTAAGTGAGCTATTTCCACAGAAATGAATACGTTTTCATTCGCATGAAGGAGAATACTCATAGTGTTTTATCAGTCAGACTGATAGCCACAAGAAGAAGCGTCTTCTTTGAATAACCGGAAAGTAAGGTGGTAAACTCGTTACGAGTCTCATGATTGTTTTTGCTCCCGAAAGTTCTGAATTCCCATTCAAGGAAGAACCTATCGGTGGAATGTTTTGATGCTTTTCAAATTGACTGGCAGTGAATAAGAGAGGGGCAGTTAGGAGGCTTACAGTACAGTCGCCGAAGTGAAGTAGGTACGGTAAGCTTGGTTATCTTGATACGACTATCCTTCAGAGCTATGACATTTGCCATCTTTTATAAGGCTTCATTCTTCTCCCTATTTCTTTTTTCGCATCTTATTGCTCTTCATTTCGTCCTTAGTGGCTTGCAATTGATACTTGAACCCCATGAATATGAAGGGAAGCAATATGCGTAAAGCAGAACAGAGAGCATACGAGGAGCACCCCTGATGACAAGGGCACAGTCAGTGATCACATTATTTATGATTTTTATCAATTTATTATGGAAGGAAAGACATTGATGCTGAATTTCGATTATAAAATAGAAAACGCAGGAAACATGAGGATCATCCCTAGTTTGGCCTAGAGCCATCGAATGAGGTAATATTTTAAGGTTCACGATGCGGTCCATTTCAGCCTCGTCTCTAGTTGGGTACTACCGTATGAGAAGTACTCGAAGTCTCCACGGGCGATGATTACGAGTAAGCCGTATGATCGATGCCTACGCGCTTAATTACTCTCAATCCTTCTTCGACAGTTAGGGAAACTACAGTCTACAACTAATGCCTTCAGAATCGCAACGAGTTTTGTACTGTGGCCCCCTAGTTTTGCAGATTTCTCGAATCGGGTTAAAACGATCGAATTTCTTCCCATTTATTACTGTAATCCAACACTCGAAAAAGAACATTGGCTCAATCGGAAGCACATCAACCACTAAACCGTGGGCGGTTGTTTGACAATGAACGAAGCCGGGCAAGCATAGCAGAGTGCTTCAAAAACAAAAAAATGAAAAGGTAGGGACGGACACCCGATTCCTACAGTAATCCAGCTATGGGTCCTGACTCAACCTCCCGATTTATGTGGACGCGACACAATCAGGCTATGACCTCGTTAGGCAAAGTACAAAGGTTAGTGGTTTGACTTTCGCAGAAGCAATTTCAAATGAAAGCTAAGCTATGTCAACAACCCCTTCAGCCGCTATGCAATATATTTTCCAGCTTTCCCAGAGGAGAAACTGCTGTCATAAACGAAGCTTCCGGCGAGGTGATAAAGGGTACTTGCCGAATGGAATCACGCCAGCCCACAGCTCCAGCTCGATTACACTGCCCATGTGAAATTGTTCTCCTCTGCTACTCCTCTCCTTGGCTTTTGCTATGAAGAAAACAACTTCTCAACCATATAAGTAAGGGTAATACAAATATTGGAAGCTCCGTTCATGGCATAGGGTTAGAAGAAGGAGCCGTTCCGTTTCGAAGTAGGTAGCCGAGTAGAAAATCCTATGGGAGTGTAGATTTGATCTGAACATCAGCTAATTTGTAAGTTGTCCCATAGCCATCTGCGTATGCAAATGCCCCTACGAAACAGTATAGATGTTGAAGGTGTGGCGCAATCAAAGGACCGATTAGAATCATTCACAATGGTTTTTTACTCGTCATCGTTAACTAACGGATCCGCTGCAAATGTGAGCTGGATATTCCGCCATCTATGAAGGCGCGATAGTTTTTGAAACCCAGTAATGAGCAGGAGGATAATCGGTATTGCGCATTCATAAGCTCCAAAGTTCGGTCATGGCTATTTTCATTAAATGGAAAATGGAAAATAGTCATCCATGAAAACGTGAAGATATAAGCAACCTGTTTTAGCCGAAGTTATTTATTTCACCACCAGCCACGCAATCCCTGTACTAATTGGACGATCCGCAAATAGCGCTGTTTGAAAGCCAAGGAGTGAAATGATGTTCCGTGATCGAGCTCTACTGCAAGTTTACGAAAGTGATGATAAAGCCTGAGATAAGGGTGGAGTTAGGATAAGGTTGACATGAACGTGGTGTAGCGGGAAGTGACGAACCATCACCCTCATGATCACAGGTTCGAATCCCGAGTCGGAATCCGCGTGGGCTAACCAAGCATCACTTTGGGATCGGTTAATTGGTGCCAGACTCTTTTGGGAAGACAGAAGTACTGACTTGTTCATCGGTTGGCCACCGCAAGTCATTGTATAGGCCCCATACCATTACTCCACTACAATTCTTAGCTGAAATCGGATGCGGGGGCGTATACCCCAGACGGGATTGATTAAAGTCTAAAATCGGGTAGACGGTTGTTGAGGTATATATAAATAGCTTTAGTAGAGTCCATTTCTGTGGTGAAATTAGATCTCACTAACGCTCAGTCGTACTTGTTCAAGGAGTTGATTGAATTTCCCTACAGATTCACAGTTGAATTGCTTCTTGCTCGCTTGTGAGAAATTTCGGCTTATGCTGATAAACGTTTACCTCACATTACTGCCTAATGTCTGGAAGTAGTAGGAATTCAAACCGTTAAACTCTATTGATAACCCTGGCTTACTATTCTATAATACCCATATCTGAAGTGGGTCGGAGAGGTTTTTCTCACNTCTCTGCAGATCTTATATCTCCCTAATTTTGATGGATTAACAGAGGACTAAAAAAGAGATTGTAGCTTCCTCGGTGTTTCCCAACGCTTTCAAAAACATCAATAATGCCAGGATTTACTTGGTGGGTTTCAATTGAGCATTCCCAGATAATAATCTTAAAGTTCACCCTCATGAACTTCTGTAAGCAGCTCGTTTGAAATAGAACGTGAAGGATTCAACATCAGTTAATCACTCTGGGATGCACCACACATTAACAAATACCCGGGTCCTCATGGGCCCCCGAATGTAATGTGCTTTGAGTATACAAGGGAGACTAACTTGCTAGGGAATCAGCTGAACTCCAAATGGCTAAAAGTTTCTGTACGAATCATAGCTCAACTATGGCAACTATTCCATTACTTTTGAGCTTTCACAAGCCTCATCAGCCATTTCTTATAGGAAGGCTTACTGGCGAAAACCGGAGGCATTAATTAACTTCTTAGCCCATAAATGAATGCACCAGGGAATTTCACGATTTTTCTTGGGAGAGGGGAGTCGTCGTTTCGCCGTTGGTCACAAAACATCTGTGCTAGAATAGCTGGAGTAGGCAGCTCATTTCCGTTTTTAGCTACACAATTCTTTCCAGACGAAGATCAGATAATAGAATTCAGACCAGAGAATGCATTAAATTCAGGAGGGCCACGATTAGGTTTAATCAGTCAAACTTTTCGGGCTTTCTGCTTGGCATGAATCGCACAAAGTACCATTAATAGACAAAACTTCTTCCTTCAAAATAGATTACGGCTTTTTCCTTCAAGTCATGGAAACTACTCAATGCGACTTGTACCACGGTAGGGGAGTGGGGGGGGGGGGGGGGGGGGG